CACACACACACACACACACAGACACACACACCATCAGGATCCTGGGAATAAATAAACCTTCTGTGGTGATTTATTAAAGTCACGCGGCCCCACAGACGGGTGGGTGGCCCCTCCCTCTGCTGGGTTCCACCTGAGCCTCGCTGCTAGTTTTAGCCCCCCCCCCATCACCGCGAGGAAACCCTGTTGATAGTCGAGCTGCACGTTCACATCCTTCCTTTTAAGGAGAAATGTGGGCGTGGCACTTCGTCTTCTGCAGTGCACCTGTGCAGGTGGACAGACTGATGTCTGTGACAATCAGCGGACCAACACTTTGTTTCCTAAACTTCACTGAGTCAGACGGACTGTTTGATGCCGTCTGATTGGACGACGAACGCTCTTTAACCGAGACTCGTCATTCACTCAGGTAAGAGAAGCCCAGGAGCTCTGGTGACAGCGGGGAGGAAGAACTCCCTTTAACAGGAAGAGACCTCGACCAGAGCAGGACTGCTCACACAGACGCTCCGATTGGCCGATTCGGGACGCGCTGACTCACCGAAGTTGAGGAAGACGAGTTTGGCCTGGATGGACGGACACAGCTTGATGATGAAGGGAATGGAGACGTAGACGAGCAGCAGCCACAACACCACCCTCTTCAGCTTCCCCACCAGACCCAACCTGAGCACAGACATTCAAAATAACTTTATTTAAACCCCGCCCACTCACTGGGACACACAAAAACATCCTGAATGACCCACACGTGACACGTCCAGCGTGACACGTGTGACAGGCGTGCAGCTCGTCTGACACGTGAAGTGTTGACATTCAGTTTGTGACGGGAACACAAACCTGACTGTTTGAACTTCCTGTACATTTGTTTTTATTGTGACTGCAACAATGATTAAAATGTCCTGTTACGGTAACTGAAGCGTCCGCTGACATTAAATACACAATAATCTCTGTGTTATTATGTGACCGGTGATTTTAACAACACAGTGATTAACAGAACGTTTCTGTGGCGTTTATGTCGGCGTCCACCCGTCGACCTGCATCTGACAACGATCGAGCCAAAGACACGAGACATGAAGAAACCCTGGAAGCTGCAAGAAACACAACTCTGAAAATAACGCACACAACATGTGTGAGCAACGCGTGCTCACGTCCACCGTTTAAATAAAGTTTATTCAAGTTTGGAAGCAGCTGCTTTCTCCCAGAACAACATGTGAAGGTGACATCTGAGCCCTGTGTGTGTGTGTGTGTGTGTGTGTGTGTGTGTAAGCTGATCAGCTGTGTTGGTATTGCTGCTGTAACAGGACGCTGCAGCTGCAGACCTGAATTATTCATTGATGAGTGAGAGTCTGCAGACCTTCAGCTGTCCTGAGAGCAGCACGTGCGTGCACGCACACACGTGCACGCACACACGTGCACACACACGTGCACACACACATGCACACGCACACACACGTGCACACACAGCTTCTTGTCCGATTGGCTGTAATGATGAACATAAGCAGGAAATCAATGTTTTCATCTACCAACAGCTTCTGAAGCCCCGCCTCTTCCACCTGGACACTCCTCCTCACTTCCTGTCAAGTGTCTCCACAGCTGGATCCTCGTGTTCGTGGCGAGCTGGACTCCCGCTGTAACGCCTGCACGTGTTTCACAGTGACTCCCTTAAAACTGTGTCAGAGGTCAAAGGTCACCTGTGTTTGAGGTCGAGACGCTGACTCGGCGTCAGGAGGAGAACTTCTTCTTTCACAAGCTGATTCTGCAGGAAGTGATGACACATGGACTCAAACCCGTGACCCACAGCTTTAACACACGTCTGCAGCAGCAGGTTCACTTCCTGTCGGCGTCTGAGCTCAGACGGTGGATCCCGTGTCACTTCCTCTTCTTGTTTGACGTCATCACGTGACAGGTGCCATTTTAGCGCTCGCCTGTGCGTGAGGTCGGTCAGACGCGGTGGCAGTGACCAAGCACTGACCGCGAGGCCGCCGGTGCTCCATCGCTTTAACGAGCCGCCGCCGCCGTGTATGAAAATACGCTGTACAGGTGTGTGACGTCACCGTGGAGATAAAGTGTGTCTGCGTAAGCAAACCAATCAGAAACAGTTCAACGTGTTTTTAATGTTTGTTTTGAAACGATTGATCTTAAAACAGCTGAAAATCATTTTATAGAACAAATGATGACAAAAATATTTTAACCTTTAAACGTTTATTTAAACGT